GCCTTGTAGTTGCTGTGCAACTCAAGGGGTTCTCATGAACTATAGTCCTGACGAATACCATATAAGGGAGTACTTAGGGAGTAGTAAGTAGTACACTGCACTGAAAAACTTAGGAAACGTTAAGACCTGGGGATAGCAAACCGGGCATCAACTTTCAGTAAAAGAAGGGTTAAAACAAATTAAGCCAATTCATAAATGACTTAAAAGTATTTAATCGTTTTTTAGACTGCAGTGATTGCAAATAATACAAATACAAATAGATTCATTTGATAAAAATTAAAGTGATACTGAAGATGAAATAACAAACTCACTTGAAGTTTTAACTAACTGTAAGACCCGGTAGAATTCAACTTACTTAGCATAGAAACAAATTTTACTATTGCATCCTGCAATGCTTAGGCTTGCAATATCATTACAATATAAGCCAGATGCTATATCTAAACAGGAAGACGAAAAACTTCTTAAATTGTGTTTAACTACAGAAGAAAGAGAGTATGTTTAATGTTAAATATAATTTTCATTATAATTCTAATAGCAGATAATATAAAAAATTATTACAGATCAGTATAATATAGAAATATAAAATATCTATAAGTTATCTATACCATACTGATCCACTATTGTATAATATTATATTTAGAAATTATATACAGTTTACTCTGGATTTAACAAACTTCTGTATAATGAATTCTGGATATAACTAACTCAAGAATTTTAAATTCCATAGTAGTTCAGTATAGAAAGTACTATGGGTTCTTAAGAAAACATAGTAATTTTCTATAATGAACTTTTATTTCCTTCAAAACTATTAGTTTATTATTGAAAGAGTTAACTGTATTCTTTATATTATACTGGTTCAATACTAATTTGCAAGATATAGTATATATTATTAAAAAATTTTTTTTTTAAAGATTTGTAAAATGAATAGTTAATCTCTTAAAACTATTTGAAAAAATTACGAGCCATATTTGTGAATTAAAGTATTCTACCCTAAATCTTGTATATTAGTATTTTAAAAAATAAGTTCATGCCAATAAATGAAAAAGAAGAATCATTAGAATCTTGAATTGATCTTATTTATGGTTCAGAAAATTTAGATACTAATGATGAATCAAGCCTCAGTAGTGATAACGAAGCCGATATACTATCAGCCAGAAATTGGCAACAATGGCAATATATACACAGAAGTGTATATCATCATAAAAGTTAGGTTAGTCATAAAAAGAATAATAGAAAAAAAAGCAATTTCTGAGTTAAGTGATTCTAATACCATAGAATATTTGCTATCTGTAAATTGTTCTGAGCTTTAAGAAAAAGTACAAGCTACTATTTTTTTATCTCTTGATGAATTATGAAGCATATCTAATGAAATAGGCTTGAAGGTAATATTCCAAATTGATTAGTTATTTCATACAGTAATATACTTTAATCTTTAAATAGTAGCTATGCAATTATATTCTGATATACCAACTAATAATTGATTATTCAATTAATTGACTAATTAACTAATCAATTAATTGATTAGTCAAGTAATTGATTAATTGATTATAATCAATTTTTAATTGATTGTTAAAAATTTTTTTGACCAACTCATTGATTCAATTTGTAATACTACTTGAAGGCTTCTATTTTAGATCCACGAGCATTAAAGTTGCTTTCATTTGCCACTGTTCAAGAGAAAAAAGAAACTGAAACCTGAATTTGTGCTGAATTATTATTATTAGAAACTCAGTTAACTAATTCAAATAATAGTGAAGAAATAGAAAGAAATTTAATAAATACCAATGAAGATCTCTAAGATTCTTTAAGTGCTGAACTATGGGGATCATGTCTAATACCTAACCAAGATGTTACCAAAGATGAATTTACTCGCTACATAAAAGAACCAATTGCCCATAAAAATCAAGATCTGTTAATATAGTAAGAAAATAGATGTATAAATTTTTTACTTCTTAGCCAACTTGCTTACAAATACCTATCCATTTCTGCTATATCAGTTCTATCAGAATAGTTGTCTTCTGATGTGAATATACATATTTCAGCTAGAAGGACTCATCTTGACCCTAATTTAGTAGAAAAAATATTATTTTTAAAAAGAAATTCTGATTACTTTCCTATGTTTTCACCTGAAAATGTATAATTTTGTAATTTAGTATAATAATGTTTGATAATAAGAAATATATAACTTGGTTTAATAAATAATAAGTATATTCCAATCTCTTTTTGTTCCAAGTGTGATCTTGTAAAAGTTTTGGTTCAAATAAGAATGCTGTTAAAATTAATAGTAATTGTAAAGATAGCATGTTGTAATTTCTTTTTTTTGATCAATCAGACAGCATATTGTCATGTTAAATCTGGATATCACTTTTAAATCTGGATATCATGACTAAATCCAGATATCATAGCTGAATTTAGATATAATAATTAAATCTGGATTTAATCATTAAATCTGAATTTAAGGGGTTAAATCCAGATTCAGGTATTAACTCTACTTTAATCACTTACAAATATCTTAATATATTCTAATTCTATTATTGATATTTCTAACAAAAACTCAACTAACTTTAAAATCCTTAAGCTTTTTAATCATCTTGATATATCAATTACCCATAATCCAATTTATGAGATTCTATATACTATCAAGAAAGCTCTATATCTTTTGAATTGATACTTTCATTATACTCTAACTATATGTCTTTTAAAAAACAACTTCACAAACTTTATTTTCTCTATTTAGATTAACTTTCTACATATGACAATTCTTGCCTTCTTAGCTGGAAGCATATTGCACCAAGACTTTGTAAAATTTCTAAAAAAAAGAAAACCTCTTTGGTTTACAACTTTTGAAGATCTAGTAAAAGATTACAATAGTAACAGAATATTTTATGAACAATATAAACTTTCTAATATTAATCACTATAGCTTTTTTACTGATTACTTTTCTTTAGATTCAAGCCATGGCTTATAACTACTATTGAGAATCAAATAATAGTAGATAAAGCAAGAAAACAAATCACTTCAACTGATCTTGTTCTTATTACACACTAGCAATACTCCTTTCTACTACAATTTACCAAATTATACCCAACTCAACCTATTAATTTTAATATATGTCTTGGCTATTCTTACAATTCTGATCTCATTGCCAATAGATATACAATATTTATTTCTATTAATTTAGTATCTAAATTTTTCTGCACTTACAACTCTCAAGAAAATACTATTAAACCTTATACTAATCATTTAGATTTAATATACTCTATCACAATTTGTTATCTTCTTCATATTCTATCTACTTCCAGTATCTTTTACAACTCTGCTTTATTTCTATCTATATTTGAATCTGGATCTTTTACTAATACACTTCAAACTATTGCCAACTCTAATATTTAATTTTCTAAAATTACTTTCTATACAGATGGCTCTGTTTAGACTTTGGTATATGAAACTGCTCTATGGATATTGGATGGATATAAATCTATTAGAACAATATATTATACAAATTTTAAGCACAAATTAAATACTGATCATGCTTCTTTAAAGCAGAACTTGTTGCTATATTGTTAGCAATTAGCACTATATCTAGATCTTGTATTATCCATATCTTTACAGACTTACAATCTGTTATTTTCAAATATAATAGTCTTCAAAAATTACCACACACTCTTTTTACTATAAACATTCTATACTCAACATTGTAGTATATCTTTATCAACTTTACTCAATTATACAACTACCAAATAATTTTTCACAAAGTCACTATATACCAAAAAGATCGATTTAATAATCTTGCTAATTAATTGGCTTGTAGTCATCTTATCTTAGACTTTCTTACTTTTAAACCTTATAATATCTACAATCTTAACTATTCTCTTCAATTAGATGAATATTCTCTAGAGTTTTTTTTTTTTTTTTTTTTTTGGTATTAAGGTGAGGTCTTGCCTCGTATCTTTTATTAGATGTTAAGTTTTTGCTTTATATGGCTACAAATAATCTTAAGAA